CAAGATATCTTCATTCGAATCTCCAATGACCTCTACCAGATAACAATCTCTCTGTGTGTCAGATGCCTCTGCTATAAAACAAGGACTAAAATGTTTTCCTCATTGAAAATTCATTTGAAAGGGTGGGGGGAGAATCCATAAAGCAGTTTGAGTTCCTCATAAATGGCTACATAAATGTCTTGCAAAGCTAAGATGCAATTATTCATCCTGCTGCTCCTTTCTTCAGAAGAGCTTAATCCTAATCCATCAACTACTATTTTTTTTTCTTCTTCATTATACCCAGCTCCACCTTGTGCCTAATTTAATAATTTCCCTCCCTTGGCATTTAAAATTCTATCTACATCTAGATCCTGATTAATGAAGTAGTGGAATCCTGGAATGTTTGCATTATTAAAATGTATACTTTTCAAAGTTATAATGGTGTAAAATATGGCAACTGTTTCAAACCCAATGGAAATATGCAGTGTGAATTCGAATAATGTGACCACTTGATGGATTGATTATGTTCACTAATTGGGATCTAGTTGTCTTTGTAAAATCTCAACTGTAGCCACATCTGTAGGCTCACCTCTTGATTCTAGTTTGTACAAATTTATTTAATAGATTACTTTGGATCAATTTCATCATTAATTTCATGATTTATCTGGATTTTCTGAAAAATTTAGACAAATTATTCTGTGATTAAAAATGATGTTAACTCAAGAATATGTATCTCCTCAAAAAACACATTATGTTAAATTTTGGAGGATTTCTTGCCTTTAGGTCCACTGTCAGATGTGGTAACAGTAGGATTTATTCTTTTTTCCCACAGATATTTAACAAGATTTAGCTCAGGAGCAAATATTAAAGGAGTTGAGGTTCTAGGTGTAGAAACTTTGGGGCAATATCAAAACTTTAGGAAGAACAAGACAAGAAGGCTCATTAGGCTTCAGTTTCTACTCCAGAAACTGACTTTTATGGCTTCCAGCTTCATTAGTGGAAACATTTATGTCATGCATTCAGCAACTGACTATGCCACTCAAACACAGTTAATAAATGAATGCACCAGATTTAAGCTCCTTGAAGAGGGGTGAAATTGCTTTGCTTATTTTTGCATTCTCAGTGCCTAGCACAAACTTTTACCCATTGAGATGGTACAGCGTTCATTTATTGGAAAAATGCTGTTTGGTAACTACAGAAATGAACAGGTAGTTTTCAAAGGAAGAAAACCACATTGTCAATCATAATTTAAAATGCTCTAAATCACTAAAAGATAAAGAATACAAATTAAAAGAAATCTAATGTTCTATTTCATACCTTTGATTTTTGCAAAGGTGACAAAAAAGGAAAATAATAAAAGTTGCAAGGGAAGTGACAAAAATATACATTAATACACTCTTGATGGGAATATGAATCGGTCCATCCATTCTGGAAAGGAATTTGAACTATGGGCAAAACGTCACAAAAATGTTCACATACTTTGGCCCAGTGATACCACAACTAGGTCTACAGATAGAAAAGTAAAAAAGACCCATATGTGTGAACAGATTTGTAGCAGCTTTCTTTTATTATAGCCAAGAAAAAGAAACTAAGAGGATGTCTGTAAGTTGGGAAATGGTAGAATAAATGATGGTGTATGATTACACTGAAATATTATTGTACCCTAATAAATAACATAAGAGACAGTTTCAGAGAATACTGGTAAGATTTCTATGAACTGATGGAGAAGGGACTGGGAGAAAAATTCATACAATTCCAGTAACATTGTTAAGAAAAACAACTTCAAAAGCCTTAAGGATGTTGATTGATGCATAATTCCTGAGCACTGAAGATGAGGTATGCTATTGACCAATTATCAGGGAGATGATTCGCTCAAGATAGAGAAAAAGAAACATTTCTAGATATAGATAATGGACGAACTTGCTTTGTTTGACATGTATCTTTCTACATATTCATCTATCTACGTATTTGTCTTCGTATATATTTGTTACAATTTTTTTTCCCAAGCAACATGCTGTAGTGCTGAGGTGTCAAACACGTAGTGTTATTGTACCACTGTGGTACAATAACACTATCAAATGCAACCCAAATCAGATAAAAATTGGGAATTATTGGGCAATACTTAGCAAAATAAGTAAAAATACAATTAGACATATATAATATTACATTTTAAAACTTAGTAAACATGTGACCTGCAGGGGATTGTTAGTATAGTTCAGTGATCCTAGTTTAGTTTAGTTTCTGAGTTTGATATCATTGTTATAGTGAGAAAGAGCTGGCCTTGGGGTTGGGAAGCACTGAGTTCAATAAGTTGATGGCCATACCAGACCTTTCTTACATTTTAATCTCAAGTATTTCTTCTTCTCTACATTTATTTCCTTATTTATTATAGCACAATAATGTTTTATCACATTTCTATGCAACAACTTATTCAGTTATTCTTCAATTGATGGAATTCCCTTAGTTTCTATATTCTGCCACCATAAAAGAACTATTAAACATGCCATCTTTACATAAAGAATCTATTTCTCTTACTTTGATTTCTTTAGTTATAGACTTAGCAGTAATGTCGTTGGGTCCTGGTCTATATACCAAACTAATATTGTAATCTTGTTGTTTGTATTTAACTATTTATTTATATATTGCATGATTCATGAAATGGATCCCTAAGGACAGTGGCCCTTTTTATCTGTCCTTGTATCTCTAATGCTTAGCACAGTGTCTAGTTTATAGTAAGTGCTTATAGACTAAGAATAATTACATTGTGTTAGGTACTATACTTTTTTCCCCTCTAGGAAAAGTTAACTTTATTGCTATTAAGGACCAAAATATTTCATTCAGGAAATGTAAAAAGTCTTTACCATCATGTCATTCTAGCAGTTGGGCCCCATTACCCTTGCCTTCTTTGGTCTTTGCCTTCCATTTAAATATTAGAATTTAATCAACTGATTTATGCCATCTTTATGGCCTGATGGTCTCCAATTAACTGAGACTGGCTCCTAATCCCTCCAAAGAAAAGAATCCTTGTCACATAGCCCATTTAACATTCATCTTTTCTCAACCGCACAACACTACATGCCCCTTCCTCTCTCTAATTAACACTTCTAGATCATGACATAAGACATCCTAACGTTTCTTGACCGACTGAGTCTGTTTCAAGTTACCTTCCCTGAATTCGTTAGAGTAAGGTTTTCCAAACTCAATCTCACTTTATAGCCTTGGGCATAGATTCCTAAAATCTTTAAGTGAATTTATACTTTGCTCAAGCTTCACTGTGCTTACAACACCTTCCTACTTAGTGTCATCTAAATGTACGTTTCATTAACATGCTATTTATTCCTTTTCCAGATTTCTAATAAAGGCCTTAATGACATACTATTGAAAAACACTATTTAAATGGATTATAACATCCTCAATCATTTCTTTTTGTTCACAGGCTCTTTTCAATTCATTCCTACCAAAAACAATTTAACCTTATTTCATATAATACCTTGCCTCACATTCTGTATCAAATTTATTATATGGCCTACTGGATTGTGTAAACTCCATGAGTATAGGAAACATGTGTTGTCTTTCCCCCATTATCTAACAAAAGCTTAGCAACTATTTGGTCAATTGAGTATTTTTTTAATAGAAAGAACAGTGGGGCAAAACTCAAGACAACTTGGTTTTAGATAATAGCGTGTTCCAGTGTGATTTTAACTAATTCATTTAATTTCTTTAGGACTCAGTTACCTCACATAAAAAAAAATGGAGAAAAGATACAGCCCTTAAGGAAAATAGTTCTGGAAGTTTTGAATTAGAGGCAGTTTATAAGAGTTATATCAAATGTGAGCCTTCAATGGGCTTTAGAGGAAATAACATTTTTAAATGTCCTGTAATGCAAGATTGAAGGTAGCTAGAAATGCCTGATGGGAAGGGAGATATTTTTTTTTTCGTTACACATGGAATGAAAAGTTCCATCTTTGGCAAGAGGTGGGAGGGAGTCATAGCACTGTGAGAGGGAGATATAAATAGAATTTGAATTCTTTTCATCCTTTATATTTTCTTTCAATATTGAAAATGGTACATTCACTATGATTCCTTCTTTTAAAATACTCTATGAACCATTTTATTCAAGTACTCAAATATGTTTACAAAAGAATGACCTTTCTCTCATTACTCATAGGAATCAACTGTTATTATTATTATTATTATTATTATGTCAAAAATATTTTCCTATTTTAAACCTGTGATAACAGGATACTGGAAAAAGTCACTCCCTTTGTGGAAAGCACCTGAGAGAAGTGAGCAGAGTTGGTGCCTTGAGTTGGAAAAAAAATGGATTATGTATATATCAGGGACCTCAAATCGTTAGATGAGTTAAAAACTAGAGGCATCCCACATACTCCAAATAGGGATTTGGTGGGAGGTACAACAGCTAAGCCAGAATGTAGGAAAGGGAGAAATGTAACAACAGTCAGTTCCAGGTCTTTGGAGCAAGCCAACATGAGGGAGCCCAGTTATGGTATTCATGCTCAACATGGTCATGACCATGCCGTATGATCAACAATAAGAATAGGTTCAGATGTGAGTTTCAGATAATGCAGATGGCAACTATATTTAACTAAAGGATAGAGGTAGTATTAAGGTAAAATGAGTCTGGGTGCCCCCAAAACTTTGCTAGTCAATTAAATAGGTAGATAAACTGTGGTTTTCATGTAGTGAGAAATCTGTGCTCACATGTTTATAAACTAATAATTTCTCTTATTTCCTTCCCTTTCCCCTTTATTTTCCTAGCAATTGTCTTTTATAAAACATCCCAAAATTGTCATGGCTAGGGTAAAAAAAAGGCAGAGAAGAAGAAATATTTGTCCAAATCAAGGGCATAAAGCTAGGGAAATTAAAGTTTTCTGGAGGGCACATTTCCTGGTGATTGTTTTTCAATTCTTAAAATTAAACTGTGGTAGCTGGGTCTAGTTCTAAGTTGGAAAGTCTCTGCTTGTGGCTCCCTTCCTCATTGTATTCTTTCTTTTCTTAAGGTTGTATTTATCTGTGATAGACTACTGCAATGGAATGTGTTACTGCATAGAATGGTATGTACCACCATACATAAGTCACCATTTCTGTCCACTTTGTGAGTTGCTGGAGCTAACAAGAGATGAATTACCTGGTGTCCAGCCAGTTCTCTAGGGATGAGGCTGCAGCAGATTAGCAAGGATGACTTGTATTTGAGAATTGGTATAAATGATATCATTAAAGATACACTTGAGCAGAGAAGGGAGTAGAGCAATCATAGAAATAATTGATATTTCTATAACATTTTAAGGTTTGCAAAAAGTTCAGGTGCATTATCTCACTTATAACTCATGATAGTCCTCATCACAAGATGGTTGACCACCTGATAAGTAATCATTTTGGTAATAACAATCCATAGAGTGGACTAAAAAAAAATAGTAAAATGTTTATTGAACATATTGTTTTGTATAACAAACCCATATAAAAATAACAATAGATTAGAGATAATTAAAACCTTTTTGTGTACTATAGGTATCATCAGGCTGCTAGGTGGAGAAGTGGATAGAGCACTGGGCCTAGAGTCAGGAAGACGTCTGAGTCAGCCTCAGACACTTACTAATTGTATGACCCTGAGAAAGTAACTTAAACCTATTTTCCTCAATTTCCTTATCTGTAAAATTAGCTGGAGAAGGGAATGGCAATCTACTCCAGTATTTTGCTAAGAAAATCTCAAAATGGGGTCACAACAGAGCTGGACACAAATGAAAAGACTGAACAATAGATGTTGTCATTAGCCTCACTTTAAAATAAGTAAATGAAGGCTCAGAGAGTTAAACAGATTTGTTTATGATTAAAAAACAAACAACTAAAGAGTATTCAAAGCAGGCTTCCAACCTAGTTCTTCCTAACTCATAAATCTTCTCTATCCAGTCTGTTATGTCATGACAATGAGAGAAAAAAATAGATGAACAGGTCAATGAAGCATTTGTACCTTTCAGATATTAAAAGGAGCAGAGGAAAGTCACTACCATATTGGATGAATCAGTATAAATGAAATAGACAGGAGACACAGGATGAGAAAGAATTCATGAAGGAAATATACATATCAATGAACTGACAGAACTCTCAAATACCAAAATAATCCACTATTTTACTAACTACTAAAATCCCACAGGTTCAAGTCACAATAAGACTTGATTTATGGATCACAAAATTACAGATTCAGAATTAAGATGGATTTTAGAGGTCATCTAGTTCAACTTCCTTATTTTACTGATGAAGAAACTAAGGCCGAGAAAGATTAAGTCATTTGTACAATGTCACACAGGTAATAAATGAAAAAGCAGAGATTTGAACCTATTTCCCCTACTTCCAAAACCAGTGATCTTTCCACTGTGATACTCAGATATGAAAGATTAATATCCTTTTGATATATACACAAGCTTATGAATATCATGTTTAGCATAAAAGAAGACACAAGAGTTTTATAGGTTATCAGATTAGTGTATTCTCCCCATTGATCACTTAGAAGAAAGTCTACCTAATAATTGTAATGATAATGATAAAAATAGCTTTTATTTATATATCACTTTAAGGTTTGGAAAGCACTTTACAAATATTAGTATTCATCATCCTAAAGTAATTAGTCAGCCACTAAGTTCAAACATTTGACAAGAGAAGACAGGTTTTTTTTTTCAATGTCACCTTTTTACAGATGAGGACACGAATACTGGGTTGAAATAGGCAGTAACCAATTGAATCTGGAATCAAAATTTCCCTTGGTGGTGTTCATTAGGAATTGAGATAGAAAAGTTTCAGCTCTGTAAAGCTGGAGAAGTCAATGAGAATCTCTGGTTCTGATTCCAGAGGGATCTCTGGTTTTGATTTTGTCTGGTTGCCTACATAGACAGCATAAGTAGGAATGATTAGCAGTCACTATAAAGAAAGTTTTTAAGCACTGATACAAAGACTTTAGTGTGTTTTGGTTATATGGATTTTATATTTCCACCATGGGACAGGCCACTTATTCCTGTTCTATTTTAAAGGGAAAATAAAATGCAGAGAAAATCAGATGAGTTTTGCCCCTGTGTGATGGGCTTCAGCTTTTCCAAATACATGGGAAGTAGCTTAATGTCATTTCTCTATTATAGACCACATCACCTTCTAAATACTTTCAAATGTGACAAAATTATACAGAGGGAATTTAACATTATTTATCACTTCCTTTTTTGAATATGCATGTGAACTAATTCCCTGCCTACAATGCCGTATCACCTCACTTGACTGTCCCAGGATTCCTCTCTCCTCTCCTCTTCCTGCCAAGCAGCTTCTGTCTGTTGTTGACTTTGCCAACAAAGCTCCTTTATTCCATTAGTTAGAGCTGGTGCTAACAAGGCTAAGGTCATGGTTGTGACAGCTTTGCTCTGCTCCATGACTTAAGAGCGCATCCCTAATCCCAGCCAGATGTCTAACAATTGCTTGTCACTAGACATGGGGAACCTTCAAGAGAAGGTGTGGATCAATGATGATCAATCATGATTCTTGGGGGAAAAAATCCTTAATGTGGATCCCAAGGGTCAAGCCTGGGAAGAATTAAAAATGAAAAGTTTATTTTCAATTGCTTCCCTCTTGCTGTGTCTTTCTTTTACTAGGTACCAACCCAAGCTCTTCTTCTCTAATCAAGTTCCCTAGAAGCTCCATCCACTTGCAAATGAAAGGCTTACATAAGTATGACAGAGAAGATGGCGCTTCAGGGCTGAAGGGGCAATGGGGCTGGTATTTAAAGCAGTATGGATGAGAGAGAACCCTGGAATGGGTTTACAAAGCACTTTACAAATATTAGAATTCATGAGTTTAAATCTTCTTTTGGCACAATGGCAACAGGCAACATCAAAGAAATAAGAACTGATTGTGCAAGAGCTTTCCAGTCAGCTATTTAAGTAGAATAAGAGTCAGATAGTAAGTGGGAAAAGAGCTGGTATATCTTGGATCAAGTGGTGAGTGGAAGGTACAGTGAGAGAGTACAGCATAGAGACTATGGGGCGGGGTATGGGACCAGAGAACCTCATGTTTGTGTTTTTGTTGTTGTTTTGTGTTCTGTGCTTGGGACTTCTCCCTTTGTTTCATCATTGTGACCACTAAGGACATTCACAAGAATCCATGTACTGTATCAGTTGAGCTTACTGCCTATTTCCTATCCCTAGTCTATTTGAGTAGCTTGTTTCTTTCTCTCTATTATTGTCACTTTATCTCTCTCTCTTTCTCTCTCTCTCTCTCTCTCTCTCTCTCTCTCTCTCTCTCTCTCTCTCTCTCTCTCTCTCCCAGTCTTTCTCTTACTTTATTGACACTTTGAAATAGATCACTATAACTTCCCTAATAACCCATCTCCTTATATTAAGCTAGTAAACTAGAGCTATTAACCAAAACAAACTAAAATATTGGACAACAATGCCCATTTTTCATCCATAGTCCCCCATAATGCTGTCTTTGCCCTTTCCCTCATTTCTCCCATAGAATTTGCCTTATATTTTATCTTCTCAGTCCCTTCTTGCCTTAGGAGATGAAATATAAGTTGATAAAGCATTATTCAGATCAATACATTAGCTAGATGCTAACGAATGAGACATAGAGAAAAGGCTGGTTTATTCTTATGACATAAAACTTTTCATTCCAAGTAATAATAATGAGTGAGAAAATTTAGACCTTTAAAATTCAACTATGGCTTAAACTAGAAAAAATAGTGGTGCATAAAGAAACAACAATTAGCAATTAGTAGGTTATTTAGATTACAAACTCAAGTTAGACTTTGTTCCCTCTTTCCTCAAAAGTAGAGAAAAATGACAGAAGTTTAAGCCTGCTACTTATCAGTACCTGAACTTGACAACCACATACAAATGAGTCTGGCTGCCTACTTTCTAGAGGAGGCAGAGAATTATGAATGTATGATTGCATGATGGGATATGTAAGTATAGCCTCAGAGGTTTATGTGTGGATGTAAACCAATTAAATTTAGCACTTCCTGAAATTACTTTCTGCTGTCTGGATGAGAAATGTTCACAAGAAGTAGTATTTAGGTGAAAAATCTTAACATGCAAACCTGGACTAAGTGATTTGTTCAAGGTGACAGAACGTTAGAGATAGAGTTAAAAGTAGATATTGGCAAAAATTGATTCCTCATGATCTAATTCTAAATACTCTGCAAGTTTATCTGAGAGTGTCCTAGTGTATACTAGAACCCTAAAACTAAGTGTTTGGTATGGGATTTGAGGCAATCAACAGGCAGCAATAGAAACATAATTGATTTCCTCCGTAAAGGGTGATCAATTTCATCAAGAATGACACACCAAATTTTAAATATCACATTTATAAATATTTTTCTTGAGAAGGAAAGAGCCCACTTAACATTACAATGTTTTCCACCATCCATAGCAATTAACTATGAATGATGAATTATTTCTTCTGTTTATTCTTACTAAGATGGTATTGAATTTGAAGGATTGTGAACAAAACTTTGTATTAAAGTATGGCTTTAATTTTAGTCTAGGGAAAAAAAATGGAGGGGGGTGGGGATGGAAGGTAGAAAAAAATCATCTAAAAAATCCTCTCTGAGACATTTAAATTCTTAGGTTCTTAAACACCATCATGAGAGAATCCAAATCAGGTTTTTCATATAACATTGAGAATTATTAATATGCAGCTATGATGTTACTTCTAGAATGAACAGGAGAAACATGAAGTCTTCGCCATGTCATTACATAATCGAATGGTATCTTTAGCAATTTAATTCTGGCCAAATTATAAACCAAATTTCATCTCATTAGCTTCCCCCATCCCCAAAGTCTTCTCTCATTAGAGATATTAATTTATTTCCTCCCCCTTATTTCTATAAAGGTGTTCTGCTTTAGTGTTATGTCAGGAGAATCTTAGAGACGGAAGAGACATCAGAGGCCTCCTGGCCAAGAATCTGAAAACATATCTCCTTCCCAACATACTTAACAAATGATCATCTAGCCTTTGTTTCCAATCCCCCCACTGAAGGGTAGCCCACTACTTCCCAAGCATCCCATTTCACTCTGAA